ATTGCTGAATTTGCCTGTAGAATCAGCCAACTCCTTTATAGATAGAAGTTCTCTGTTTTATTTGGGACATTTTGGCATAAAAAAAGAGAAAATTAAATATTTTAAAGGGCTTAGAACCTTACTTCAAATCTGACATAGGGAGGAGGGAAGGGGAATAATCTTTAATATTCTTGTAATAACTTGTTGGCTTGTCAACACCAAATTGATGTATACCTTGATCCCTATGTCTCAACACAACAATTAAATGCTTCAAAATGATATTCTATATATATAGCAAATAAATCCTGCAATCTGAAATCTGTCAAGGATCCTTTTTTTCAGCATCCACCAGACAGATTGGGTATATCCTCTGAAAGGAAAATCACTTTGGGGTCATTACTGACCAAATAAACTGGCTTCAAATGCATTTTTCCCCAATGTCTAGCTATCAATCATTCTCAAAGAAAGGCCCTCAGCTATTTCTGAACTGGCAAACAATGAAGCTTCCCTTTCAAGGTTGAGTAGGCTTGATGCCAATTTCTCCTTCTTCCTTGTGAATTTTTTTTTTACTTTCTTGAAACACGCAGGTAAGTATTTCTGTACAGCTCAAGCTCCAGGCTTCCAGTTCCCTGGACTGTTTTCTTTAAATTGCTCCCTTTCTCCCTCCCTCCCATCCCCAGTTATTGCCATTCTGCATATCACAAGCAATTTTTGAAACACCTCCACTTCAGAACAAGTAGTCATGCAGGAAACATATGGGGGGTGGGAGGGGAAGCAAATTCCTGGACAAATCCCATGCAATTTTCTTGTTTAATTGGAAGCAAATCCCACTGTATGTTGGGGCAAGTTTCAAAGGACCACTTATCTTAAATGAAGCATCAAGCAAAGCATCCCCACTCCACCGCACTGGGAAAAAATGAAGAAACTGAGCAGAAGGGTTGTGCTGGTTTGTTCATACAAAGTGGCTTTTGTGCATGATTACACAACATCTTGATTTTGAAATCTTCCTCTGTGTGCCCCGCTGCCTCCCCCCAAAAGTGTCTTGAACTGGCATCTGGTGCTACCTGTGGTGGGAGTATCCCCTCTAAAGATTCCCCTGCTCTCAAAGGTTTTGCATGATGATATCATCTTATCCTGCGTTCCTCCCAGGTGGGGGAATCCATTCTTGGAAAAGTCACATTATAATCTCTCTCTTTTTCTCATCATTGGAGAAAAGATAATGGTGCATATTTTTCATTAGCTGTTAATTGTTGGCTCTGGGGGACATTTCTTCTATGCTAATTTTAATCAGTCTTTAAAACTTTTTTTAAATACTGTTTGTGTTTTAAATTTTTGTTAGCCACTCTCAATGTTCACCAAAGCAGAAAGGCTGATGTTACTGAAATACTGTAAATGCACAGCAGCTGTTTCTTTGAGGCAAAGCCGCTGCATTGTCCAGAAAAGCACTGAGCACAGTCTGCTTGTCTGCATGCCATGTGGCTCCTTCCCAGATCACTGAACATAGCAGTATTTACTTTTGAGTAAACATACACAAGTGTGCACTGTAAAGAAAATATCTGCCTAGGAAACTAATTTCAGTTTTTTTTTTCTTGGCACCTTGGTTAGCTCCCTGCACAAATCAGACTAAGACAGTTTTAGACTTTTTTTAAAAAAATACACTGATTAAAAGAGAGTTGGCCAGCTACTCTGTTGTTCACATGGTTTCCCAGATCAAATCTGGAAGAACATCCAGAGATTCTAGATTATTCCACTGCTATTCAGTAGCAAAATGGTTAGTTTTGAGGTACATCCTTTTCTGTATTAATAAATAAAAGTAGAGCTAGCTACAGTGTAGAATTAGCACTTACAAATTGAAAATAAATAAATCTAAGCCCTGCCACATCCTCAAAAGGGATAAAATGTTTGGCCGCTAACATTTCCTGGCTCCTACTGAAATGTTGGTTTTGGCTGTATTTCTAGGGGGAAAAAGTGTTTCTAATGTTTCATATTTTATGAAAAGTTTGAACTGGCTACATGCTTGGCAATTCTTATTTGATTTTACATGAATGGCATTTCAAAGTATATATTTCCATGCATTATAACAGATTACATAGTTTAGTAAGCTATACAATCAGACTGATAAAAGGTCCTGCAATGCTTTATGTATAAAACAGTCACTGTAAAGAGAAATATTTAGTCACAATTAGGTATGGATGTTTCATGCTGTTGTATGACTATAAATAAAGAGAATGGGAACTTTCCATGCTAATATTCTTTGCCACAAAAATGGTTGCTGCCTCATTATAGTGAAAGATGTCTCCTTGTTTTCTTAATAAATAAGGTTGAATGAGACAGAGAGCTGATTCTCATAATAATACTGATTTCATTTGGATCTCAAATATATATATTATTCATTCTGCAATTTTCCCCCCTGGATCAAAATTTAACATTCTGTATCATTCCTCATGAATTTTTCTCATTCCTAATTTCAAGGGGATGTATGAAATTTCAGCAAAAGATATGTCATTTGAAGATAACCTTAATATATTGTAAATAACAAGCATTTGTGCAATAAACTCTGCAAAGTCTAAAACATGAACAAAACAAAATCTTGCTAACCATATTAGCAGAAAAGCAACAATACAGGTCAATGAATATATTGAAATATTATAGAAAAAAATTAAGTTTATTACAAAATAAAGCTCAGAATAACACTGATGTTCCCAAACTTCAATCCTGAAGGATAATGTGCCTAACATAACTGAGTGGTTTTTTAAAAAAACCATTAGCCAGTGTAAATCATTCCAGCCAATTTACACATATGGAAAGGGGGGGTGGGGGGTGGCCTTGGGCTTATCCCCTTCTACGAATCATCCCCTTTGCAGCTGCAAATAGAACTTTTCCTATTATGAAGAGCAGCTACCAGGTGTGGGATTCTATTAGTTCGGACCGGTTCAATAGAACTGGTTGTTATGATTCTGCGCAGTTCGGAGAACCGGCAAATCATGCCCCTGGCTGGCCCCACCCTTCTCCACCCACCCCTTCCCTCCCCTCCCAGTCAGTCCTAATCGAACATACGTGACATTACCGCATGCCCGACATCGCTGACTGTGTTCTCCCCGCTGAGTCACTCCTTAAGGTATTTCTTTTTTTCCTCCCCCTCCTGACGATCAGCTGTTCTGATGATCAGCTGTGCCAGGATCCCCCTCACTGTCTTACTGCTTCACCCAAGAGGCTTCCCAGAGGCCCAGAAAAAAGGGGGTGGGGCTACTGTCCCTCATGCTCTGTTTTTTGCCTTCCTGGGCCCCAGGGAAGCCTTCTAGGAACAAAAACGCCCCCCCCCGCCCAGGAGGCTTCTCTGAGGGCCAGGAGGCAAAAAAAATGGGGCGTTTGCTGCAAAAAAAAAAAAAAGAAGCAACGACCACCCAGTCAAATGGCCATGCCCACCTAGCCACATCCACAGAACTTGTTGTTAAAAAATTTGAACCCCGCCCCTGGCTGCTACCCTGATCCAATTCTCTCCTCTAGAATGTTTAAACTAAAATAGAAAGGGAGGGAGAAGGAGATATAAATCTATTCCTATTCAGGGATGCACCTCGCTATGTAGTTTGTCATCGAAAAAATGTATAATTCTAAAACAGATTGTTCCATTCGTGTCTCTGGGTTTGTGTGTATGTCCCTTTGAGTCAGCATTGACTCCTGGGGGGTTACCTGGACAATTCCCTGTAATTTTCTTGGCAAGATTTCAAAAGTGGTTTGCCCTTGCTGGCTTCCTAGGACTGAGAGACAGTGACTGGTCCAATGTCACTCAAAATGAGCTTTGAGCCTCAGGTGGGACTAGAAGTCATGGTCTCCTGGTTTCTCACCTGGCACCTTAATCACTAGATCAGTCGGCTTTCCCCTGAATCATATCTTCCAAATATGTTCCCAGAATTCCTAGTGGCCTTGAATTGTGCTGGCTACAAATTCTAATCTACATCAAGACATGATCAGGTTGGAAGCAGCAGTTTTTAAAGCATGCTACAGTATAAATGTTTTCAGTATGAATTTCTCACATTTCAAGTCATGCTATGAATGTGCTGAAAACCATTTTCCCATATGAGAATGTTTTACTGTACCTGGCAAAGTGCAGGGTGGAAACAGATTTGCTCTTCTAGATTAAAGCTCTTTTATCAACAGCTAAGTTAGCAATGCTTTGGATTCATTAGAGGCAAAAATTCAACACTGCTATGCCAACCTGGAAGATACCTGAATTAATTTGTTTTAACTGAAAGCCTCGCCAGACTAAGAGAGAAAGTTAGAAAATTAAATCTAAGTTTGGAGCCATAAAGAAAAATGTCATAGCAGAAATGAAGGTGAGAAGCATCCATAGTAAAAACCAGAATACTAGTTACAAAACAGGTTCCTGTAAAAAGATCCATGTCTATGTACAGATATAATAGCGCATTTATCTTTAGCAGTTAACTACAAGACAACAACATGCAATTGTTAAATTAAGTCTGGGACTTGGCACACACAATATATACCACGGTGGTATTTATGGCACTGGTATGTGTTGCTGCTACCTCAGTCTTATCTAAATAAACACCAACATTTGGAAACGAATATGACTGAAAACAAAAGCCTGATCTCAGTCATAACCTAAGAATGTCTAATAATGATGGTGAGCCTCTTCTTTAGAATGTCTGTGAAGGCATTAAAGTGTTAGCACTGATGATGGTACATAGTTTGGGTAATGAAATATCTGCAAGAAAGGAACCAAGCTCAGAGAGCACCAAGGACCCCTCAAACTATTAATTCATTGGAAGAAATGTTTGAGGCTGTCCAAGAGACTCATGGGAGGCATGGCATGGACCACAAGGAATGCTGTATCATTTCCCAGCAACATGGTGCCTCCTTTTCTGAACACTAATTTTTACACAGCACTTGTCCAAAAGATACTCTTGTAATTGAGTTAAAACTGCTATGATTAATAATTAATTTTTGCTTTATTCATTTGGAAGATCTTTTAGGCACTGTCTGCTTCTAGCACAACAGTACTAGGCCTTTGATGTCATCATCACCCCAAAACCATACTTGCCCACAAGAGGAATTCAGCAACGCAATACATAGATCAGTGGAAAGATATGGAAATGATTGGAAGGTTGCCTGCTTCAGAGGTTTTCAGGTATGCCGCTGAGTTTCAGGGATTCCTTGGACAAATCAGTGTTCAGAGTTGAAAGGGCAATGTTCTCGTATAACTTTTGAGATTCAAAGCATCTGAGGCTGTGAAGCACAATAACTGCATCTTTCTGAAAATTCTTGTTGAGGAATCCATAAAAGACAGGATTGACACATGTGGAGATCATGGCTATCAAATGGCACAAGGTAAAGACCACGTTATGGTGGCAATGCATCAAGGTCTCATAATTCCAGTCAAATACAATGTTAAATATGTGCAGAGGTAACCAGCAGGCGCCAAAGGTCACAACAATTGAAACTAAGATAACATTAATCCTTCTGCTTTCATTTAGCCTGCTCCTACTCTCCCTTGCCTTATCCACTTTACTGTACCGCCTCTGCAGGCACACAAATATTTTTAGGTAACAAATGAAAATGAACCCTAGTGGAAGGAAGTATTGGAAAACTAACATGGTGGTGGTGAAGCCCAGCTGCCCTTCAATGGATGGCCACACCTCAATGCAAACCATTTTGCTGACATAGCTCTCGCTGTGGGAAGAGAGATTTTTTAGGGGGTCATCAGACACTTGATAGTATATCAAGAAGGGAGTGGATATTATTAGAGAAAATGCCCAAATGAAGACAATTCCCCAGAATGCATGTGAAACATTGGGCTTCCAACCACGGGGGTTCACGATTAACTGATGCCTCTCAACTGCAATTAACACAAGTGAAAATGTAGAAACAGAGATAGACATACTTTGCGCAAAAGAAGTTATTTTACACATAGCCTCCCCAAAAACCCAGTAATCCATCCAAGTGTAGGCAACAGTAAAAGGGATGCACATGACGCAAATGACAATGTCAGATATGGAGAGATTGGCAATCAAAACAGTAGTCACATTTTGACTTTGTTTTTGTTTTTTGATTATGACAATTAGGCAAAGGTTGCCCAGAAGTCCGACCAGCATGACCACAGCATACGCTATGACGAGCAACAGGAATAGAAGGAGAGATGGCTGGCAGGATTCAAAGAGCACAAACTGTGACTTACTGCTGTTTGCCACAGATGGATCCATGTTGGGTACTGGAGTGGTTTTATCCATCACGAAGTACCTGTGAAACCACAACACAATAAAGAGTGAATCCATCCTTATTTTACCTTCATAGTTTTAGAAGCTCTCCCCTCTTCAGTATAAATGATTTAGAGAAGAGATTTTAAATTCAGGTGTTTAATATTGTTTGAATTGCCTGAGCCCAACTTGGCTTAAAACAAGGAAACAAAAAGCGCCTACTTAGACAGAAACTTTATGCAAGTAATCAGTAGTAGCAAAAAGAACCATTATGTGTTAGAGTCCAATACCAAAAATTGGCTCTGTGTTTTGAGTTACTATACTATAAGAGATTGGGCAGATCCTATAGTTATTATCTTATTTATATCTTTTGCTTTGTTTACAATCATGGCTCATGTTAATATTTATGTATTTAGGAAAGTATAAGCCATTATTTAAAATGTGTTTTCTATCCTCTTTTCCTCATCTTGTAAAATTATTTGATTCCAGATTCTTTTTGCAAAACGAAGTGCAGAATTACACTTTCTCACTTTCTGTATTGGAAGAAAACATTGATACAGGCAAATATTACAGAAACTGTAATACAGAATGAAAATAATGAGTGGGATATAGTAATGTCTCCATCTAGAAAAGACAGTGGAAGGGTGAGCAGAAAAATTGCAATGGCTGAAGTCCTTCGGAGGTACAGAGCCTTGGATAAGGAGTTACACTTGAGAACTGAAGCATCTAACAGATGGAACAACCAGCTTGCACTATTCTCTAAGGGAGCCAACTTTACATATCTGACCTAACTGCCCATGTATTCCCATGTATTCTCTTTAACTAATTGTTAGAGATACCTTCTCATCCGAAGAGCTGTGAGTTCTTCTGGTCAATAAAAGGCTATTAGAAAACTGAAAAAAATGCAACCAATGTAAACCCAGAGCAAACAATATGATTAGAAAGATGGAGTATCTCCCCTAAGATGAAATAGTTCAGCACCAGAGCTCTTTAGCTTGGATCACAGAAATTTAAAGGGAAATTTAAAGTTTTTTTTTAAACACAGAATATTGGTTAAACATTTATCCTTTCATAAAACATGCTGACCTCAGTGATGGCTACTCCAACTTGCAGAACTGCTTGGGAATTTGAACAAGCTTAGATTTGTAGCCTGAGAAGTTCCAAACCTTCCCTACAAGTAAGTTGTTTCCAAAGTAGGCACCATGCTAAACTTGTAATTGCATTTGGGCATCTTTGGGCAGGGTTGATCTTTCCCTTATGCTAATCTGAGAAGTTGCTTCACCAAAACAGCTATTTTTTTAAAAGAGAAAAAAATTGTACCCTAGTTGTTATTTAACCAGAAGCCTTCAAGTGAGTAGTTGTCTGCAGGACCGGGGCAAGATATAGAGAAACAGGACCTATTTAGAGATAATGGGTGAAAATCTAACTGAAAAAGGGATTCTGTAAAGGTACATAAGATTGTATTGTTATATTAGTAATAGAAATAACTTTAGAAAATTGGAAACAACCTATGATTAAAATGAGGGATAAAAGTGAGTAGTTGTCTGCTGAAAGAAGAGTCGATTCTCTTCTTCTTGGGGATAGAAAAATGGCAGGA